TTTTATTATGCCACAGTCGACCGCTTCCGCTCCTTCCGGTCGTGAGTATGTGGGGTAAAGCAGCGCTGTTTTATCATACTAGATACATTTGAAAGTTTGGTTATAATGCTACTCTGTGCGGTCGTCACCTGTCTAATAAAACGCACAACATATTAAAGCGTCTTTGGTGTTTCCATGTTTTCTACAAAACAAAACCGGAAATCGAGGGGTTATGACGTCATTGGCAGGCGACACAATGACACTATGGACACGGTCCGCATCACTAGTTAAAATTGCTTATTTCTCTGGATTTAAACATTCTTCGAAACATTTGGGATAATGTAAGTACACAAGTCAGCAAAATATATAGCACTGTTCTAGTAGTTTTTGGATATTTTAATAAAAAAATCTTACATATTGTGCCTTTAAATCCAGTGTATAGGACTAAGAAAAATGTGTGCATTGCAGTTTTGGTTGGACAGTTAGGACCCACGTGCAGAGCTTTATTTTGCATAAAAGAATCCAGTCACTTTTGTCAACTGGAATTAGTAGACATTATCAAACCAATAAACAAAGGGTCAGAACCGCATTACAAACATTACAAAAATACTCTAGCAGCTTTTTAAAACAACTGAACGGGGAATGAATAACAGGTGAACTTAGTGATGTACAAAGAAACAGTCGAGAATACAAGGATACAGTGACCTCTGGCGTTCAAGCAGTGACATGACGGCCTCCATTGCTACGCACGAGGAGGTTAAACGGTCCAATTTTGTAGAGTAGAAAATAAAATATATCCCTGACCACGTTTTAGCTCGTAACTAACAGTATAATAAAGCCAAACAATTATTATACTCAAGAGGTTACTGACAGGAACATTGCTACATAGTGATAAAAATAGATGATACAATATTATAAATGTGTGATTGTTTAAGATGTTGAGTAAGGGTCATATAAGACAATATTGTGTTATATGCAAGATGTAGACGTGCTTCCAGCCTGTAATGTCATTTCTCAGACAAACTGAGGAGAAAGCAGAAGAATAGACTTGCAAAAAAGATTTGCGCAAGTTGAAAAAGCAGAACACTTAGGCCTACATTTCCGTTCAAAAGTTTGGTGTCATTAAGATTTGTAAGTCTTTAATGCAAACCAATACAAAGCAGTATATTGTGAAATACTATCACAATTTAAACTAACATTTTTAAAATTATTATTAATTTATTTTCAAATGTAATGTATTCCCGTAATGAAATTCAAATCTTATTTTTCAGCAGCCATGCATTACTCAAGTCTCCAGTATCACATGATCCTTCAGAAATCATTAATCAAAGCCATTGAAAACGGTTTTCACGGTGAGTGTGTGTGTGTGTGTGTGTGTGTGTGTGTGTGTACAGGTTTATATATCCTGGTGGGGACTTAAACCTGACTACACACAGACTCATGGGGACTCGTGTCACGGTGGGGACCTAAATTGTGGTCCCCACGGGTACAAAAGCTTATAAATCATACAGAATGAAGTTTTTTGAAAATCTAAAAATGCAGAAAGTTTCCTGTGAGGGGTAGGTTTAGGGGTAGGGTTGGTGTAGGGCAATAGAAAATACTGTCTGTACATTAGAAAAACCCTTACGCCTATGGAGAGTCCTCACAAGGATAGCTGACCAGACGTGTGTGTGTGTTTTAACGGTTCTGATAATATACCGATTTTGTTTTTGTTTTTTTATGTTCTTTTTTAATAAATAGAACATTCAAAAGAACAGCATTTATTTGAAATGGAAATCTTTTTCTGTCACTTTTGAGCATTTTAATGTGTCCTCGTTTAATAATTTAATATAATTATAAAACAATACGTAGGCTATATTGTAAAGATGTGTAAATTGTAAAGTTTCTTTTGAGGTCCTGTTACACTCACACAGTGATCTCACTGAAGTTCTGGTTAAGGTTAATCAGTAGGCTAATGAAATGTTTCCTTTCTCTTTAATATGACCGCTTCATACTGGAAAGGTGTGGCTCACTGCAGAAACATTTTGAAATACTGGAAATTCTAATAAGACAGATAAGAGAAGAATTTTGTTATTTTCTTCATATAGTTATTAGGTGAGGACTAGAGCACACTACAGTTCTGCTGTTTAAAGCCTGATAGGAGACGCAAGAGGACACCTTTCCTAACATTTAAGCTGGGGTGAGATATTTACTTTTAATGATCATGTACATAAAACGTATCCTTAGATCCATGTATTCCATTTTAATGATGTACTTGGTTAATGTCTAATGATATCTTATTTGTTTTCTCATTTTTGAACTTAAGAAAGAAAGAAAGTAATCGCACATTGTCAGCAACTATCCTGAGAATGGACGATTCAAAGCCATCAGCATTTTTGACATCACTGTTTGGTAAGAACTAGCCTATTAACAATCTTGTTTTAGAATACGTTGCTTTTGTAATCTGTGTTAAACTAACATAGTCTAAATGATGTCCAAATGTCCTATAGTTTTAGTGAATACTTGGCAAAGTACGAATGTGACAGTATTCTTGTCTGAGCAGTCTGTTTATTTTTCAGTGATACTGGCTGTTGTTGTACTGGGGGTTATAATTGCTGCCATTGGAATTGGTAAATCAAGCATTTTTACCTCATCATTCACAAATAATGTGGACTTAATAACATATTCCAGTATAATATTGAGAGAAACATTCACATACTTTGTACAGTCAGCAAACACACTCCTCTACACAAACACAAACGCCGCTGAATTTTATTTGTTTGAATTTTTTAGGGGCCTACACTCTGAGGGACTGCCCTGTCCAGCCCTACATCCCAATCTACCTTATAGTATTTGGTGTATTTGTTTTGCTTGTTCTGATAGTGAGCCTGGGCTTATTGTGTGGTACACTTGCAAAAGACACCTATGAATTGCTGCTGCTATCTATGCTGATTATCTCCGTCAGTGCCATCCTCTTCCTATTTGTTGTTTGCTGGTTCATCACAGGTGAGTGAATTTGTCAAACAGGAGTTACAGAAGGAGGGGTGAAGATATTTGATTTTATTGAATATGCAAAAGAAGGTTAAACATTCTCTGCAGATAAAAAATTAAAGGTGAAGCATAATGTTGTGACAGGCTGAAGAATGTGGGGCTGTAAAGTCATAATTCACCACTGGTAAGATGGGGCTTTAATAAAAGTTGTCTGTCTATGCAGTAGAAACACTTTTTTGAATTGGTGTTACATTAGAGAAAACAGGGGAAAAGGGCTGTAGTGAAAATAGGTACACTGTAAAAAAATAAATCCGTAAAATAGCAGAAAAAGTACTGGCAGTTCATTACACAGGACGTTATCCATTAATTTTACGGACATTTCTGTTAACACTAAAACACAATGCAATGAAGTGTAAAATTCAAAATACTGGTAAAACACCTGTAAAAAATAAATATGGAAAAATTCCTTCAAATTATACAGGATATTGTACCATATTTTTACATATTTTTGTAGAGTGTAGGAAAACTTCAACACCCATAATGCACTGGGCTCGATCACGTGAGCAGGGAAAACAAAAATGCAGAAGTACAATCTGTAGTTTTTACAAAAGTCCAGAAGATATCACTGAAAAATAATGCACTTTGTCCATTTACTTATACTACATTGTAACAATACAAAGCTGGTTGAAAATTGGTGAACTTACCCTTTAAATTAAATATTGTGAAAATATTTGCTAAAAATAAAAAAGTTGAAAATTTCTATCGTTGTTTACATTTCACAGATATCAAAGGAATATTTAACTCAACTAAAATGTTTTCTCTGTGTATTGCAGGGAGTGTCTGGATATATTCTGTACATCCTCCCAGTTATGACCCAACAAATGAAGAGAACTACTGCAACAAAACTCTGTATCTCTTTGCATTCTGGTTGAATACAGTCTGTTACGGCTGTCTGGCTGTCTTGCTGCTTTGTAGTGGATTTTTAGTGCTTTATATATGTGTACAAAATACTTGTCAAAGACCACAGTCATTGGCTTCAAACTCTCAGCAACAAACATAGGATGTTTCACAATGTATCATGATTTTATATTTAGCAGTTGCTTTTATTAAAACCACAATGTAATCATACATTTGATCAATATGTGCCCTAAGAATCAAATTCATGACCTTGACATTATATATCCTATTTTCTACCAGTATAGGGCTACAGAAAAGCACATTTTTAGGGTGAACTGATCTGATGTGATCTGTATAGTGATATATTACATTGTTCAAAATCAAGGCCTGGACTTGAAGGTAATGCACAGCTTAATTTGAAAAATATCAATATAAATAAAATATATACTGCCACCGCAGTGTATAAAAGTCATACTATTCAGATTTTGTTAACTGAAAATGTTTATATAAAGGCAAAAAGGTGGTTGTTATTTTTCAGTTTGGGTTTGCAATAACAGTTTCTCAACATTTCACCAAAGGAAGTGTTTTAATGCTACTGGCTGAGTCTGATGACCACAGAACTGTGAAAACATACTGGCTGACTCAGAGCAGCTCTGTCCGGTTTAACTTGAATATACTATTCACATCTTCATAACGAAGCTAATTTTGGGGGTCCTCCTCATATTTGAAAGTCTATGAGGCAAATTAATAAGAGAGAATTCACATTTGTATGGACTTTTTAAGAAATCGTTGAAGATGGAGACTATTGAGACGGCTGCCAGAAAATCTTTCATTGGTAAGAATATTAAGAAATTATGTTGTTGTTGTTTTTCCAATAACTAATAAACTACAATAAAAAGAACAGGAAACTTTCTTCTTCTTTCTTTCTTTTTTTTTTCCAGTGATGATTAACATGATTGCATGGATGATTTTAATAACAGCTACTGGATTAGGTAAAGAGCAGTTTTTGTTTACAGTATCAAATATTGAGATGATACGTGTAATCACAATCTGGAGCACTATAAATGCTTTTAACAATAATTGTATGTCAGGTAACAACAACAAGAAGATGAGAAGCTTTCTCACACCACTGGAAGTCTGCTTTTTACTCTGTCATATGGCTGTTTGGATAAATGTTTCCAGGAGTGATCCATTTTCATGAGTGCCCTGTCCAGCCAAACCTCCCCATCTATGTGACTGTGATTGGAGTGACTGGTCTGCTTTCACTGTTGGTCATGTACCTGAGGAACACTTTGGACGACTGTCTGCTGGCTCGGTTCTGCAGTGCTTTCAGCTTTACGCTCTACCTATTCATTGTGTGCTGGTTCATTGCTGGTGAGAGAAAGAGATGTTAAATTACTGATAATAAAGGACAAAGTTATTGTCAGCCCAGTGCCAGCACAACATATTTTTTATTAATAGCCTATTTATTTATTTATAAATAATATAGTGAAACTAAAAGCAATGGTGGTCTCATGCTGTTCTTTCAGGTACCTACTGGATTTACTCCATATATCCTCCCAACTATGTTCCCACCAGCACTGGAGACCACTGTCACAAACCCCTGTATCTGTTTGCATTTTGGATTAACAATCTAGGCTTTCTTTGTGTGTTCATACTGTCTCTTTTTGCTTTGTATACCACTTTGACACGTAGGTCTATATTGTTCACCAATAGAACCCTATATGTTCAAATTTAGCTGCAGACCTGTAGATAACTTCCAGTAATGCTCTGAAAATGTGCTGTATTATTTATACTGGTTACTGGTATGAGTGATCTTATTATATACGTTTGTTACAAGAGGTGTTCTCGTAGTTTTCAGTGGTTGTACTGAAGATAAATGTGCAATAATATACCTTCATTTATTCATTAGAATATATTTATTTATTAATCAAATATTTCTTGAGATCTGTGAGCCATAAAGCAATCAAAACAAAGATTAACAGCACCTTATTTTATTTATTTATTATTATTATTATTATTTGTATTTGTTTTTGAACATTAGCTATATCTTTTTTTCAGTATATCTTTTAATTGCGAAAAGTTGCAAATATCAAAACACAGCAATTAAAAAGCGTGCTAAATTATTCAAAAGGAAAAAAAAGCATCCTTGTATTTTGAATAATTCATGAGTGTGTTGTTTGCCCCGCCCACAACACTTGCGCCAGGTCAGTTGTTCTGTCACGGCACCCGTCCCAGAAATGCCTGGCGAGGCATCAACAGCAACTGTTGACAAAACTGCGTTATATTTTGAAAATACGCCGTCAGAAAGACTATATCTAGTCCATCTTAACAAGTCGGCTAGTTGTTATGGCTGGTAGGTACACATTTAATCCAATACGTGTAAAACAAACACTCAACGTGACTTTGCATTTAATGCACGTTAGCTAGTTGATATGTTTGGCTTGTGCAGGTTGCTTGAGCTTGACCTAGAGCAGCCTACTTTTAGGACTTTGCTATCTGAACCCCTCATAGTTAATGCTTAAACATAACCTCATTAAGAGATGTATTTCTGTAAATACAACAGCGTGCCAGTGGTATCATAGTTGTGTATTGATGCGCTTTTTGTTTTGTCCTTTTGTTTGTTTGCTTTGTCCTCAACTGTTGTGTTAAGTTGCGGAACTAGTGGCAAAATGCTTGCAGGCACGAGAAATGGCTTACTGTCCGTACAGTGGGTTTGCAGTCGGTGCTGCAATTTTGACGACAGGGGGCGCCATTATCACTGGTAGGCGGACGCAACTGTTTATTTCATTTTTGACTGAAGCAACATGATTGCACAGCATTTTATCTGCCGTATAGTCAGCTCTTTGTCCTCTTATGCTGTTAGAGTGTTCTTAACCATTATATGTTGTAGGCTGCAATGTTGAGAATGCCTCCTATGGCCTTACTGTGTGTGCGGAGAGAACTGCGATACAGAGAGCGGTCGCAGAAGGATACCGAAGATTTACAGCCATAGCTGTCACATGGTATATCATATATATTCCGAATACAAACTGACTTACTGAACAGAAAACATATTCAGTATGTTAAAGAATCCTTTTGATTTCACCAACAGTGATATCAGAGATAGTTTTGTGGGACCATGTGGTGCTTGTCGACAGGTATTAATGGAGGTATGGCTACACTCATATTTTATCACATATGTCAATTATTACTTTTGAACATCTTTTCCTTTGTCTCAGTTATTTTATATGCCTTTCTGTCACTTGCTCTTTTTTTAGTTTGGCACAGAATGGGACGTTTACCTCACTAAGCCAGATGGAACCTATAGGAAGACCAGTCTCAGAGACCTCTTGCCTTTAGCATTCACCCCGGCTCACCTGCAAAAGAACTGAATGCACTACCCTAAAATGTTCTTTCTTTTCTTTTTTTTTTATCTAAATTTAGGATTAATACCACCATGAACTGTGCTGTACATGAGGCCATTTCAGTCACAACATCATCTCTATAAACCCTGCAGTCTACAAAAGTCCTTATTCAAATGTAATACATAAGAAGGGTCAGAAATGTTCGAACAGCTTTAATTGAATATCAACTTTTTTAATTAATAAAAAATAAACAGATTGTTTGGCTTTCTTTCAAATGTTAAAAAAACATTTTTTTTAAAGTTAGAATTTTTTTAAGATCTTTTTTTTTTTTTTTAAGTCTAAACCTTTTGTCCCTTGTTTATTTAGAGAATATAGAGACAGAAAGAATGGTTTAATACTTTATACTTTTCACACAAAAGTATAAAAGAATGCTGTAATAAGGACCTATTGAGGCTGTGTGAATTAAACTGGTCATTTAGGCAGATGTCTGTTGGTTGACCCGATTCACATGTACGGTCAAAAGTTTGGTGTCAGTAAGATTTTTATTTTACAGATTATTTTTATTTCATTTGACTGGTTTTAAGATTTTTTTAAAGATTTTTAAAATAACACTATTATTTATTTAGCAAGGACACATTAAATTGATCAAAAGTTACAATAAAAACCTTTATAATGTTATAAAAGATGTATATATCAAATAAATGCTGTTCTTTTAAACTTTCTATCCATCAAAGAATCCTGAAAAAAAAATAAAAATAAATAAAAAATACAGTTTTTAACTGTGAACTAACTGTATTTTCAACTACTAGAATGATTTTTGAAGGATCTTGTGACACTGAGGACTGAAGTAATAATTGCTGTAAATTGAGCTTTACTACAGGAATAAATTACATTTTAATTTTACAATTGTATTGTTTTTACTGTATTTTTGTTCAAATAAATGCAGCCTTAGTGTGCATAAGAGGCTTGTTTTAAAAACATCTTTGGGTTGAACATGCAGGATGCCTTAAATCTGGGCTTGATGGAGACAGTTTCCCAGTAGAGAGAATTATTGGTAATCCTTGTGACCCTGTTGCCCCGGGACTGTTTGAAATTCTCCTCACTGAGGCAGAGGGGGCCAACATACTGTTCTGTCACATGGGAAAAACACTCACACATTGTTCTCTTGGTAGGCTGAGAGGGAAAGTGAACATTAGTTGGTGGGAGAGAGCCACGACACAAAACAACAACAGATCTTTGTCCGGAGTATTTTTTAGAGTATTTATTTTCTGAACTAAAATGAAGCATTAAGAAAAGTGTTGACAACAAACACAAATTTTCAGAAAAATTAAAATTGAGGACTAAAGAGGGAAGCACAGTGTTGGAAATGCAGTGTTTGCTGCAGAAAGGAACCATAACATCTACAGACATAAAGAAAATGTGACTGCACTTTATAGCACAGTGCTGGTCAAGCAAACAACAACCTGCTACTAGGGAAAGCATACCTATCAAAGGATAAAACTGATACATGAAGTAAAACCTTTGTGTTTGCATGCACATTCAAATAAAACAAACCATCATGTGCTCGTATGTGGCTATGGCCTGTGGCTTTTTTTAAAGAACTAAAAAGCTTTTTAGTGTTTTTTTTAACACATATAATAGTGAAATACAACAATCTAGATGATCTGAATTTTTCAAAGATTACTTTAATAGCTTTTTACTGTAACTGTCTCTAATCAACGGCAACCTTGATCAAATCATTCATTCTGTGTGCTAAAGCTTTTGTTACAGTGCAACCCAATGTTTTATGACATGCTTGTGTGCAGTAGTAGACTATTCAGTCTTGCACTTTTTAAGCTGTTGCTGATCAGAACAATCTCAAGACTGCCTGACTGTATTAGAAAGCACTATTTGTCCACGTTACTCATGTTTTTCATTAAGGAGAGTATATTGGTTCTCATGGGCATGTTTGCGGAATGAATTCCAGTTCACTCAAGTGAACTCGGGCTCAATGATGCGCTCGGGATTTGGAAGGGAAGCGTTTAAAGTGGAAACTTCAGGAACTCTTGACTGCATCACAGTCGGGATTATAGTGTAACTTCTCGAGCAGTACGCAAATTCAGTGCATTAAAACGCGCGTTATTTGATGACGTTGCAGAAGTCAATATCAATAAAAAGTAGACTTATCGGTGTCAAAGTTCCTTTGGAGTTCCTCCTTTAGATGGCGAATGGGCGGATGCAAGTGGAGTCGGCACTATATAAACAGGACTGACTGTAAGATACAGCCTCTGTGGAGTTAAACAGCGGGAATCCTGATTGAAACGGAAGCTTCTTCTTTTTGCAGGTATGTCTCGTTCTTACAATCATTGAAGATTATTCTATAGTGTTTCGAAATTAAAACACAATTCTGCGAATAGGCTAGTTAACGCCCCTCAAGATGGCGGCGCGTTCACACGCTGCGGCTTCTCTCTCTCCCGACAGAAAGGTGTTTTCGTGTTTTTTTGTCTTGTGAGTCGCAGTGTTTTTGTACGTATTCGTCGCGTCTATCTGTCTCTAAGCGCGCATACAGTCGTGAGTTTCTGCTCGATGTCGGCAGAACCACATTTTCAGAGTTAAACTCTGCGCACGCCGTAGAGCTGCGGGATCTCGGTCTGCTCCGGAGGCCCACACCATCACCGACCCCCACTACTGCATCTCGCCCACAGCCTCAGACCACATCACTGTTTTGCTAATGCCTGCATACAGACCGCTCGTTAAAGTCACCAAACCAGTTCACAAACTGATAGAAGTGTGGCCGGAAGGGTCGTCAGAGGCTCTTCAAGACTGTCTTAACACCACTGACTGGAATGTTTAAGCAGGCTGCAACATACAATAACACCACAGACTTCCAGGAGTACTCAAGAGACTGTCACTGCCTACATCACCAAGTGTATTGATGATGTAACAGTCACAAAGACCATCACTGTCCGGGCCAACC